TCTAGGCCGTTTGGTAGTAACCGTTAGGCAATGCTTCTTGCGCACCAGTTACCTTAAGCGTTCACTTGAGCGCACCCGTTGTCCTCGCGAAGATTCGAACAGAGAAAAGCCTGAGAGCGGCCATCTCCGTATTTTTCGGGCGCACTTATCGATTCTTGCTCAATGCCGCTTTTCAAATCCATTTTACAGTTGAGTATAGAGATGTATCGATTTTTCGACACCGCTATTTCATACTGATATCTGTATTATATCCGCAAATTGCAGATCAAAAATACATCTATTTAATTATTCAATATTTAATATAATATTAATTATATGACACTATAATTACAATGCTAAAATGGATGTAGATAAATATTTTGCTCAGAAATATATGGATAGATAGATACGCTACTATAAAAAGATTAGCATCGAATAAACACAATCAGATTATTCTTAAAAGTAATTTTTTTTACGCATCTATCAAACGATGTAGCTATGCGACATGGCGTTCAGATTGTGACGCTGTCACTAATTATTTTTCAATGCCGCGGTTTTCTTTTACAGATTTAAATCGTATTTTTCGAACGTCTATATTGCGTACGCGACTGCGGTTCGTATTATTTTAATTAATTCGCAGTTTTATCCTGCACGCGCGCGATTTAGTAAAGGACTCATTTCGGAAAACGTTATTTCGCGGTAACGGTAATCTCTGTAATGCGTCACAGAATAAAAGCAGCGGCGGAGGTGGACAAGTTTGCGTACCATTGCCTGCCGAGGAAAACTTTGGAATTTATTAACTTGTTAGGTACGTTCTTGCATCGGCAAATACAGCCACCCAGAACTCAATAAAATGTACTTTCGTTACTTTCTCGCGGTCTCTTTTTCCTTCCTGTTATCCACACCATCGTGGCACACGCTCGTTTATTTGTTAGCGTGATAAAACTTCTCTCCCCCCCTCCCCCCTCCCCCCCCTCCTCTCTCTCGTCTTGCTGTTTCCTTTTCTCATTCAAGCATCTCTCTCCCGGCGTCTCTCCCTCCTCTCCCAGGGTCTTTTCATTTAAACTGTCCGCCGGTCGTAAGAAATAATACTGGAAAAAGTCGCTGCCCGCTCGACTCAGTTACGAGATACCCTTTTTAACGATCGCACTTAACCGCGCCTTTTGACGCTGATGTACGACGTACACAATATTCACGGTTGCAACAGGAATTAAGCCCGATATATAAATGCAGTCCCTTTGGTGGCCGATCGGAAGACGAAGGTACATCGTATACGTTTCTTCGCGCTTTACATTGTTTGAGTTACGAGGATCTCGAGACTCGTTTCTTTTTTCGAATTCTCACAATACAAATAAAGGAAAGAGGATCAATGTAGAAATCATCCGGTCATATAATAAATATTGCATTATTGTAATTGTTAGAGATTGTATAATTAGTAGGTATACGAATGTTCGTGATGTGCGATCACATTCGCGTCCAGATTACAAGTCCGCGTTGATGATCGGTTGCAGATTCGACAGATTCTTCTCTCGTCCACGATGTTGAAAACGCAGACCGATTGTGGCGGCATGTGTTTTTTTTTCGCAATTCCGTAAAATACAATCGGGGTACATAGACAAACAGCAGTTATGGTCAACTATAAAGGCCGGCTGTGCGCTTTTAGAATCTCCTTTGTACCGGCGCTCGGGTGACGTCACTTTTGTGCCGAGATAAACCGTGATGAACGCCCACTCATCGTCACCGAGTTTTCTAGCACCTTGCACTTTTCTTTGTCTTATCTTTGCTGTTCCTCGTTCTCGGCGAGGAACCATCGAATTTCCAACGAGCAGCATTGATTGACGCGAATGTTATACGACAGGACTTTAACGACTGTTCGTCTAATCGTCGTGAATCGAGTTTCGAGGAAAGTCTCACGCGAGAGAGAAGGTGATTTTGGCACAGTTATCGCCGTGAACGTCATTGTTGTTCGTAAATCATTTTCCCGCGCTCGTTTCGACGTATCCGTTGCGTCGTAATGCGCGATAGTATTTGTCAAAGGAAGATATCGTTGATCGATAGAATTTAATTTTTAGAAAAAAGGCTCTTGGAAAGATTGATATTTTCATCTCGATTCTTTTACACGCTATTTTTTCATGTTACTTGTTTTTCACGGTTGAAAACTCGCGAGATAAATATTCGATGTAAACTGTCGCGTGCTTTTTTAAATCTGCCATTTTGTCTGAATTATCGGATTTTTGTCAGCGATTATTAATGACGAGGATTTAACGGCAAATCGTTTTGCGATCTCGTAAAGAGCGGGATTTCGTAAGGTGGCGTTAACGCCTTCTAGCGAGGATCGATCGAGTCAGCCTGGTCGCATGTTGGCACAATGCCAGCACAGGCGTCCCGACGCTTCCCGAGATGGTGGACCGAGTCCGGCCGAAGGCAGCGTCCCGGCGTCAGCGTCGGCGTCGGCACGTCGGGCGTCCGTCAGTGCGCGTGTGACATGGCTGCAAGGCGCTGCTGCGGCGACCTAGACGACGCCCTCCACCTCGCGATGTGAATACATCCGCGACGACCTCGCCTGAGAATCCTTGCGCGACTCTTCGGACTCATTGCGATATCGATAGCTGACCGACACGAAAAATGCATCACACTCGTCGAGCACTGCAAAAGACTGTAATCTCGATGACAGAATCGATTGCCGTGTGATACTCTCGACAGTACGTCAAAAGAAAAGAGGAAGGAATTGAAAACCCGTATCCTTTCTTAACGTTAATGTTATTCTTTATGAAAGATTTCGGAAGTTCTCATTAATCATCCGTGTAGATAGAAGTGACAGACGCTCATTCGCAGAGAAAAAAATCAGAGCAAACGTTACTCCGCAATATTCTGAGGCTTCTTCATCAAATAATCATTATGTCAGATCTCTGATCTCGCGCGCGCAAGTCTCGGAGTGTCGGGACGGTATGGTGATTGCACACCGAGAGATCGAGACACGTGGGGCAGGAAGATGTAAGAGAAAAGTGCGAGGTGACCCCAGCCAAGCGAGATGGCAAGTCGAAGGGTTGAGCTTTAGCAAGTGCGATCTTATCTCGCGCGTATGAAACACAACGTACCATTCCCGCAGATATACGAAACTGCATTCCCTCCAATCTCGATTACCGTGAGAACTGTTTTCGAAAAGTTGTATATAAATACTCGCGCCTTCTTAGCGCGTATTTATTCTTAATCGAACAATAATCGCTTACAATTATTAAAGACTCGCCGCGCATTCAGTACTGTACATCTTGCTCTTATCGTGATGTCAGAGTGCGCATTGCAAGCTGTCGCGTAAATAATCGAATTCTTGGGAAATGTTTATCGCCGTCCGTTTTTATCGCGATACTATTTTTATCACAAACTATATTTTAATCTGAGAATTCATTTTTCTCTCTCGATAAGTTATGACGCGTTTTTGATCGAAAACGTGGACAATCGGGGACAATCCTCGCGATATCAAATGATCGACACGGACAGTGCGTGTAACACGGCTGCGGGCTACGCGTCAAGACAGTTTCCCTTCGAATCCGATTAGCATAATAATTCGGCGCGTGTCGCGCCCGCTCGCGCGCGAAGTGCATAGAGAGTGGGTGCCTGTGAATGTGCGCGCTCGTGCGTGTCAGTGCGCGAAGTGCATAAAGCGACGATGGGATATCGGTGAGATCACGAGGTCACCGCAGAATGCCTGAGCCGAGGGCAAAGCGCTGTAAACACTGTGACGGTACGGCACACCGCGTGGCTGCACCGCGTTGCAATGAACGGTCACCTCGCTGACCCCTTAACACGCCTCGCTGTGGTTGCGACTAACATCTGTGTTGACTAATAAAGGGTGTTACGTTTGAGAGCCGGGAGATTGTGCCTTTCAATCCCATTAACCTCCTACCACGCCATGCGTTTGTGTGAGAGCACCGAGACATCGCTTCGTCACGCCGAGTTTACGCGAAGGCGATAAGTAGGTAAGTCAAGTAGCGCGTTACTCGCTCAAGTAATGTTCTGCTTGACTCACCTCGTTGCACGACTTCGTCGTTAGAACTGCGCGCTTGTTAAAAATTAAGATTCCGCGAGACTTTAATTATGATTTTGAATTATAATATTATCCGATGATCTCAATGAATTAATTGCGAATTTTTAGATTTGTATACTTTTTCTTTGATTTCAGAATTTTTTTTATTTATCGTACACAAGCAACTTTTTACTTTGCTCTCTGTTCGATATTGAAAATTAACGTAGCAAAAGTTAGGTTTTTTGCCGAAACGGCGCAAAGTCTTATTTGGGATGAGACTATTTTATTTGTGGGTCATTTATTCCACGACTGCGACCGGACATTTAGACCAGGCTTGAGGCAGACCGAGACGAATGAATGCGCAAAGCGCATTCCGGATCGGGCGGCGACCACGTCCAACTGCACTCCTCCCTCTCCACTCATCTCGTTCTCTTCCTCGGGCTTTTTCGCTTCATCCCTCTGTCCTCGTCTTGCCCTTTTTTTCGTCACCTCTCGCACTCCATGCTGCCGATATTTTTATCCACGGTTATTCACCCCCTTATCTGCAGATGCGGTTAACGATTATCTATCTGGATTAGCTACCGGATTTTACGCACCGATCTCTCGCGTAATCTTATTGCAGCCTTCCGGAAATTTCAGACATTACAGCGGACTTAGAGCGGAATTTACAGCGAACGGTCGTCCGAAAGCTTTTAGAAGTATAATTTTAAGAATCCGATTTAGAATCAAGATCTCTTGGTTGGCGTTTGGCGGTTTATTTGAATTTCTTTTGCGATTAAATCTCCCTGTAAACATTGAACCGTGCAAGTATGCTAACGATCACTCTGATTCCTGGTATTGACCCACTTACTTTGCTCAACAATCTTAAGCCGGGATCACGTCCGCTTTCTTTACTGCCGCATCTGTCCGTAGTTTTATAAACACCGTCGCAAAGTACAGCCGGTAACGTTCGTCATAGGTGTCAAGTGCTGTATTTTTAAAATCGATATCGCTCCCTAAGTAGGCGGGACACTGCCGTTTTCGACGAAGACAAACTTCACAGATGACAAATGAATCGCATTTCCGTAGGCGCTTTCGAAGAGCTAATTATATATGTGCGATTTCTCGATCGTCGAACCTAAGTTAGAAAAGCTTTCAGCCTAACATGATGATATATGATGTCTGAAAGAGCGGACATTTTTTCCATTCTTTTAGAAAAACACGCTCTTAACAAATGTCCGTTTTTCTAGTCGCTTTCAATCAGCTGTTTTAATTATGGGATTGGAAGACGAAATGAATGAATTT